ACTACAACAACTACAAGTACAACAACAACTACAACTACAAAACAACTACAGCTACAACTATATGACTGCAACTACACTACACTAATTACATTACACCACAACTACAACTCCACTACGCTACAACTACAACTACAGTTGCAGTACATCACACATCATCACACTACATCCAGCAGTTGTGGGTGAGGTGACCACTGCAACCATTGCAACCATTCCAGCAAACACAACTCCAACCACCTTTCGGTCAATCAGTGGATTCGCTCTGCCATCCGTGATTCACAACAACCAACGTCTCCTATAGGTTTCCTATTCTGAAACTTCCGCCACCGCCTTGTGCGGTACTACTGGTCCAATACCGTTTGCTATGTTGATTGTGATGTTTGTGCAAGAGGAAGATCGTCACCAATCAATACAATCCCCACAAGCTGAGTCCTTCCAGGATTAATCAGCTCACCTTAGCTGGTGCTTGCGCAATGTCGTGCGTTACTTGCCTGTGATCCAGCAAACAAGAGAAAGGTGCAGTAGGCATGGCACTGTAACGTGTTTTTTGAACCTATATTGAAAGGACTGCTGGAAGTACCATGGTCAGGACATGAAGTCAGCACCATGTTACTCTTTACCAAGTTGCTGTAAAGTTTGGTAACCTCCTTCTTTCGCTTCTGCTTTGCAGAAAGGATTTTGCCCTATCAGCATTGGATCTCTAGACACTCATCCCTAACCCAGCCTCAAGCTTAATAAATATCAAACCATGGCGCGGTCCAACAATGTCCAGCAATGTCCAACATGGTCATGTGGCATCATGTGGCATCACGTGGCCTTCTTCGCCTCCGGTTCATCTACAGGAGGCTCTGCCCTTCTTTTTGTGGCAGTTGCCTTGTCTTCCTGCACTGCCACTGCATGCTGTTGTGATCATGTGATAGATGTTCGTACAGGTCCAGGCAGGCAATGCAACTAAAAAAAACCGAAGCTTCGCTGCCTACGCTCCTTTTTGGAACCAGATCCTTTTCCTGCTCCCATTGACCTCTTTGTTTCTTTGGGAGACTTTTTGCCTTTACTGCTGCCTTTGCCAGCTGCTTTTGGCCCGGTCCTTATATTTGTCTTCCGACGACTTCTCGCATGTATTCTTTCTTGTGCCAAACCCATCACATATTCGCCATTATTGATCATATCAATAGTTTGTCCCATGGCAGATCTCTGGTCAACAGCACCCGTCGCACTCGCTGATGCTCCAAGGTACGTTGGCTTTCGCCCACGGCTTTTGTGTTTGACTTTCCCAGATTTGCCTTCACCTTGCCAAAATTCCAAAACCAGTCTGAGGATGTCTGAAGATTCTGAAGTTCCAGAAGTAGTTCCAGAATGTGGAATCAAACTGATTATTGAAAAAACCAAGCGCCCCTTGAAACGTGCTCGAAGCCTCCTCCGGTTCCACCCTGAGGCGACAGTGCTCCAAATTTTGCGTGTTCAGGACGTTTCAGGAATTGTGGCAAGTTCTTTCGATTTTTTTGATCTTTTCAATTTCAGTTTCAATTGGTTTCACTTGTTGAACGCATTCAGCACTATTCACTTTGGAGTTCTCGGCTGGTCTCATGAAGAGTTACTCGACTTCTGGTTCCCTCGCCTTCTTTGTCCCACGTCTTGCTTTTCGATTGGATTTGGTTTTCTTCGGTTTGTTCTTGGCCATTAAGACAAAGGAAACTAAGTCGAAAAACGTAGCAGATGGAATGGTCAACAGCTGCATGGTACCTGCACGTATCAACCCGATTTGATTCAATTTGAGTTGACAGCGTTGGTGTTTTTGGAAGTTGCAAGCGCTTCAAAACAGGAACGTGGAATTATTTTAAGGATTGTTTCATGTTTTTTGTGGAACCTTCAGTTCATTGGTGTCAATAAGCTGTGAGCCAGTAAAAGGCAAATCTGGAATGTTGGTACCATTGTTTGCCCGGTGCTTGTGATTAAAAACATAAAGGGTATAAACACATGTTAATAAACAAATCATGAAATCGTAGCAAACACCTTTGTGGCACGGGCGCCTTTCGGAGTTGGCCCAAAGCCCTTTACTGTATCTAGCCAGCGAAATGCCACCATGTGTGCAAGAAAAGAGTAAGCACGCCAATGCTGCATAGTTTTAAATATATTCATGTATAATATATATATATACATACAGATATACATATATACATCTATACATATGTATACATATATATATGTATGTATAGATGCATATGTATAAGAAAAACCAGTAGTGCCGCACAAGGCGGCGGCGGAAGTTTCAAAGACAGGGCACCATAGGAGAGGTGAGTTGTTGTGATGCATGGATGGCAGAGCGAATCCACTGATGGACCGAAAGGTGGTTGGAGCTGTGTTTTTGGAGCGGCTGCAATGGTTGCAGTGGTCACCTCACCCACAACTGCTGGATGTACTGTGGTGTAGTGCAGCTGTAGTTGTAGTTGTAGTGTATACTTGTAGTGCAGTGTAATTAGTGTGGTGCAGTTGTAGTTGTAGTTGTAGTTGTAGTTAGTGGGGTGTAGTGTAGTGTAGCGGAGTGGGGTGTAGCGCAGTGTAGTCTGTGTAATGTAATTAGTTTAGCGTAGCGTCGGGTACGAGTAATGTAGTTGTAGTTGTAGTTGTAGTTTTAGTTGTTGTAGCTGTACTTGTAGTTGTAATGTAGTGTAATTGAGTGTAGTGTAGTGAAGTGGAGTGGAGTGTAGCGTAGTGTGGTGTAATTGGTGTAGTGTCGCTGTAGTGTCGCGTATCGTAGCGTAGTGTCGTGTCGTGTCGTTGTCGTTGTCCATGTCGTTGTCGTTGTCGTTGAAGTGTAGGTGTAGGTGTAGGTGTAGTTGTACTTGTACTTGTACTTGTATGTGCAGTAGTTGTAGTTGTAGTCGTAGTTGCAGTTGCAGTTGCAGTTGCAGTTGCAGTTGTAGTTGTAGTTGTAGTTGAGTGGGGTGTAGTGTAGTGTAGTGTAGCGTAGCGTAGTGTAGTGTAGCGTAGTGTAGTGTAGCGTAGCGGTGGTTGTAGTTGAAATTGCTACAAAACCCACACGTTTTGCTCACTTTTGACAAGGTGCGCAATCCCTTGTGCCTGCCACGCAAAAACGACATCTGAACGTCCAAAAGTGCTCCAAACCCATCAGTTTTTAACACTTTTGACTTCGAAATGTGCTTCGCGCCACAACGGCGTGCACTTTTTCGACATCTCAACTTACAAAAGTGGTCCGAACCTGGTGTGCTTTGTACATTTTGACTTCCAAATGTGCTTCGCGCCACAGCGGCGTGCAATTTTTCGACATCTCAACTTCCAAAAGAGATCCGAACGTGAGGTGTTTTTAGCTTTTTCACTTGGACATATGCTTCGCGCCACAACGCGCGCAATTTTTTCCTCTCGCATCTGGCCACATGGCTCCGCGCCCGCCGCTTTAGCGAGCCTACTTTTCGACCCTCCGGAGCCACAAATCATTGGAAAACACAGTGCATAGCGACTTTGCCACCTTTTCCCCCACCTGCATCTTCTTTCTCCTGGCTCTTGCTCTTCTCTTCTCTGATCTTCTCTTTTCTTCTCTTCTCTTCTCTTCTTTTCTCTTCTCTTCTCTTCTCTTCTCCTCTCCTCTCGTCTCGTCTCGTCTCTTCTCTTCATTTCTCTTCTCTTCTCTTCTCTTCTCTGACTCTTCCTACCTCTGCTTTTCCATCTGTCCATTTTGTCGAAGTTTGACTTCTAAACTTCCTTCGATGAAGATGTATATATATATATGTAAATTTATATATTTATATAAATGCATGTATGTAAAATATATATAATTAAATAAATAAATATATATATATCTCTCTCTATCTATCTATCTATCTATCTCTCTCTCTCTCTCTCTCTCTCGCTCTCTCTCTCTCTCTCTCTCTCTCCTCCTGCCAGAGCCTAGCCTTGGCCCAGGCGGGGCGGCGCCTGCGATCACCGCAGGTGTGCAACGTCTCCAATCATTGTCCTTTCCGCCCCCTGCAAAGTGGCAGCCGGGGTCTAAGTGCGCTGGCAACCCAACCCCAAGCCTCCAAGTACGCCTTCCAACCTCTGGGTACACCCTGCGGGTTTCGAAGCTGCTGCTTTGCCTCCAAGTCCATCCTTAAAGGGCTTCGAAACTGCCATGTGGCAGTTTTCGTCCTGTGGCACCCAAGCACAAGCCTCCAAGCAGGCTTCCAAATCCATCTTTAACAGGTTTCGAAACTGTTGTTTGGCAGTTTTTGCCCTATGCCTCCATGTTTTTCAGTTACGCTGGCCATTGCATTTTTGGTCCGTGGAAGGCCGCAACCAAGGCCTAAGTACATTGGCAAGCTTGGCGGAATTCACCCAAGCCGTTTAACGCCTCCAATAGGCCTCCAGGTCCGTCTTTGCGAGGTTTCGAAGCTGCTGTCTTTAAACGGTTTCGAAGGTGCCATTTGGCAAGGGCCAAGCCCAAGCCTCCGCCCCGCTCCAAGTCCATCTTTGAAGGGTATCGAAATTGCCTCCAAGTAGGCTTCCAAGTGCATGCGTAAGGAGTTTTGAAACTGCCGTTTTGCACGGCCCAGGCCCAGGCCTCCAAGTCCATCTTTACGGGCTTTAAGTACGCTGGCAGTGGCATTTATGTCCCCATGCAAGGCCACAACCAGGTCCTAAGTACGCTGGAAAACAGAAATATCACTGCCATGATCATTCATGGCCGGTTGTATCGGCCGGGACCCCCCTACAATTAGGTTCCTCAGTGACATCAACTGCACATGACCAAGAATGGATGGTAGCAACTTCAGTTGCCTCCCGCATGCCTCCCCAAACAAAAAGAGGGGCCGGGGGCACCTGGACGTTAGCACGCTCATATATATATATATATATATTTATATATTTATGTATTTATTTATACACTTATTTGCTTATTCATTTATTTGTTTATGTGTTTATCTATATTTTTGTTGTTGTTTAAATTTACTTTTGTTTATTTAGTTGTTCATTTATTTATTCATTTTATTTATTTATTTGTTGATTTATTTATTTACTGATTTATTGATTTATTTGTTTATGTGTTTATCTATTTGTTTTTTTATACATATATAATATAATATATTTAAATATATATATGTTGCATACATACCATATTTTGTTGGACAAACATGCCAAAAAAAAACAGATGGGCCAGAGAACCCAAAAGCAAGACGGCGCGCAGCACGCCTTTTTTAAAAAATCTCGTGGTGTGGGCAGCTGTGCTCTGTACCAAACCGACGTAAGATCTTAACTGAAACATCGCGCGCGCTGATGGCATCAGGGGGCCACAATTCACCACAGCATGCTGCGTCAGCTATGTCTACATTCTTCTAGTCGCTATTTCTGCTGATGTAATTAACTCTATCCCATCTTTCTAGTCGCTATTTATTCCTGGGTTCTCGTTTAGTTGCTTCGCCGCAGAGGGAGCGAGGACGAAGCGTGGACGGACAGAACACCGTGCGACATGAAAACTAAACGACGGAGGGGGTTGACCAAAAGAGCATGAAAACGAAGATATGAAGATGACCGATGGTGAATGATCATGAAAAAAGAACATGATGAAAAATGGGTAAAGACTTCTCTGTACAAAAACTTCTGTGCGTAAAAGCTACTGTGTCTAAACGCGTCTGTGCGTACAAGTTTCTTTGTGTAAAAGCTCCTCTGTGTACAGGTTTTTGTTCTGTGTGTAAAAGCTTCTGTGTGTGAAAGTTTCTGTGTGTAAAAGTTTCTTTGCGTAAAAGCTTCTGTATGTAAAAGCTTCTCTGCGTAAAGGTTTTTCATGTAAAAGCTTCTGTGCGTAAAGGTTTTTTCATGTAAAAGCTTCTGTGTGTAAAAGCTTCTGTGCAACACGTCCTCTGTGTGTAAAAGTTTCTGTTTGTGAAAGCTTCTTTGCGTACCAGCTTCTGTGTGTAAAAGCTCCTCTGTGTTAAGTTTTTTTTGTGTAAAAGCTTGTCTGTGTAAGACTTCTTCTCTGTGTCAAAGCCTCTGAGTGTACAAGCTTCTCTGTGCAAAAGTTCCTGTGTGTAAAAGCTCCTCTGTGAAAAAGCTGCTCTGCGTAAAAGGCTTCTCTGTGTAAAAAACTCTGTGTGCGCAAGCTTCTCAGTGTCAAGACTTCTTTGTGTAAAGTTTTCTCTGTGTACAAACTACTCTATGTAAAAGCTTCTGTGTGTAAAAGCTTCCCTGTGTAAAGCCTCCGTGAGTAAAGGCTCCTCTGGGTAAACCCGTCTGTGTGTGTAAAAGCTCCTCTGTGTAAAAGCTTTTTTGTGCAAAAGCTTCTGCATGTAAAAGCTTCTGTGTGTAAAAGCTTCTGTGTATAAACAATTCTTTGTGTAAAAGCTTCTGTGTATAAAAGCTCCCCTGTGTGTACAAGCTTCGCTGCGTAAAAGCTCATCTATGTACAAGTACTGTGCGCGGTAGAGTTGCCAGTTTGTAAAACCTTCTGTGTGTGAACGCGTCTCTGTGTGCAAGATTCTGTGTGCAAAAGCTCCTCTGTGTAAAGCCTTCTCTGTGCAAACACGTGTGGGCGTAAAAGCTCCTCTGTGTAAAGACTTCTCTGTGTAAACGTGCCTGTGCTTAAAAGCTTCTCTGTGTAAGACTTCTCTGTGTAAAAGCTACTCGGTGCAAAGGTTCTGTGCGTAAAAGGCTTCTGTGTGCAAAAGCTCCTCTGTGCAAAGGCTTCTGTGTAAACGCGTCTGTGCGTAAAAGCTTCTCTGTGTAAGACTTCTCGGCGCAAAAAGCTTC